GAGAGAGAGAGAGAGAGAGAGAGAGAGAGAGAGAGAGAGAGAGAGAGAGAGAGAACTGTGACTAGTGTAGAGAGACTAGTCTAGTTAGAGACTAGTGTAGTTAGTGACTACTACTACTACCACTACTAGTGTAGTTAGTGACTAGTGTAGTTAGAGAGAGGGTGGAAGCCAAGGATAAACCTCTTCTCTTTTAACACAACCTAGATTCGATTCTTGGGTTTTCGATTCTTGGGCTTTTCTATGTGGACTTGAGACACGTCTAAAAGGTCTCTGTGGTTGCTAAGAATTTCTAGAAAGAAAACCGGAAGCTCCTGAGCTGTTGGCGTCCTGTCGTCAAGGAGACGGGCCGTTCCATTTCTCCGAAAGGGGTAGTCTAGACACTATTCCATCTCTCAGTCTGCACCGAGGTGCCCAAATCACTCCGAAGAACTGGCGGACTTTAAGCGTTCGACAGAGGCTCCGCAGGTGGGCGCGCTCTGCTTTGGAGCCTGCCTTGCCGTGGGGTGCACCCCAGGGTCTCCGTGGTGCAGCCCGGAGCGCGCGCGCGCTCGGGGTTGGGGTCCTCGGACAGCGCAGAACTCTGCGGGCTTTGCAGCCAGGGTCTGATCCTGGAGGGCCCCGGGATGCCTGATCCGGGGAAACCCCGGAAAGACCTCACACGATGGAAGAAGAAGCAGCCTGTGCACCGTACTGTCAGTCAGATCTGCCCGCCGCCCCGACGGCCGCTGACGGTGGTCGACATCCGCCCGGGCATGGAGAACGAAAGGCTGGGGGTCGTGCGTGACTCCATGTTTCAGAACCCGCTCATCGTCAAGGTGAGCGCCCGGGCGCGACCGTCCCCTCCGCGGGCACCGCCCCCACCGATGGGTTCCAGCTGCTGAACTCTCTGGCCTCAGGACCCAAGGTTTGGCCGCAGTGTTGGAAACTTGCTCTGGGTGGAACGGGCCTGGACTCTCTGCAGTCACAGCCAGTCCCTAAACCTCAGGAACCTCTGTGTCCTCAAGTGGCACACTTTAGCGGAGTCTTTTCCCACGACTGGGAAAGATATGGATGGATAGGTCAGTCTCTACCGGGCTCGATCTACCCACAGCGTGATAGACAGGTCTCAGGCACCCATCCATGCCCTTGCCACCCAAGACCCACCTTCCCGAGCACCTCTGGTCTACTATGCAGCAGGTACTCTGGGACTCTCGCGGAAGCATCACATCGCCATCCTTACTGTGTCGTGGGTGTTGGACTTAAAATCCTCTAGGAGGTATGGCTGGCACTCGCGTGGGAGCAGCGTTTATAAACAGATCACTTTCCCTTGCAGTGCCGGTCCCCCTCATTTTTGTTTGTTTTCCTGCCTGGCAGAAAACTACAGTTGTCCGTGGCTCCGCCTCTTTTCTCGCGCGGAGACAGAAAAAGTAAAGTTGAAGTTTAGTGGAGCAAATTTATCTTGCGCCGCTAGAGTGCAGTGTGCTTCTAAAAATGAGCTCGGTTTCCCAGGTTCCGGAGAGGAATGGGCGCGCTGATGGTTTCTCTGACTATAGGCAGACCTATATAATTAGACCTTTCTGGGCTGATTAAAGCTCCCAGGAGGACAGAAGCTAGATGCAGTGAGCCCGTGCAGCAGCATCCTTAGCACTGGCCCCTCTGAGATTTCTATACAGTGGATCAGGTCTTGCTTACTACTTCTTGGATTCCCGATCTCAGCAAGCACATGGAACAGACAGTTGGAATTCACTGCTTTAGGCCAAGGAGAAAATCATGTACCGCCTATCAATGACTGTACTGATAATGTTCCAATATTGTTTTTATCTATCTATCTATCTATCTATCTATCTATCTATCTATCTATCTATCTATCTACCAAATGCTGCCTTCCCCTCCCCCCAACACCATCCTCCCTCTCCCCCTCCCTTCTGAGAGAGCAGTCCCCACTCCGTATCCCCCTGCCCTGGTTCATCAAGTCCAACATTGCTTTAATCATGTGTCACTAGTGTGCAGCTCCTTCCCGCTTAAATATGAGAGGAAGGGCATTATAGAGTTACTTCCACAGCCAATTCTTGTGTAACGTTCACTCCAAGTGACACATATATATGCATATCTGCATGCACTTGTATATATGTATAGCACACACATGTGTTATATATTGCTCACTATATGTTTAGCATTTATACGTAGATGTATAAACTACAGTGTGTAAATACAATATGTGAATACCGCCCTGCTTCCCCTTTGCTTTCTCCCTGGCTGTCATCAAGGACAGCAGTTGGCCTGTAGATGGCACTAACTTAACAGCCTTCAGGAGGAAGTCCATCCTTGTATCTGGAGCTGGAGTTTAGGAATGATCATTTTTAAAAAAATATGAGTGATGATTGATCCACCAATGGGGTTCCGTTTTCAGACTGTCTTGGTCCCTGGTGACCACTAATAGCAGGGCCACATCCTGATGCTCTTTGGTGACAGGGCTTGGGTCATTCTCAAGTGGTAGCAGAGGGCAGTCTTTTCCTCCAGCTGTCCTTGGTGTTTGAGGCACGTTCTAGCTGTTTGGCTGACGCTGTCCGCATTCAGTATCTACCCCTTCCTGTAAGATCTCCTGTCCAAACTCAGCCTGTATAGAAGTTGGCAGAGAGAGAGAATGTGAAAAGAAGCCAGCTGCTCCCTGTTACAGATACTCCTTATAAACCACTGTGTGGGGAAATGTCTGCAAGGCTTTGACGCCAGGTTCTGGCAGAGCTGACTTAAAAGCCACACCTAAAAGCCCAGCACAGCTTTCTCTATGTTAAAAAAAAAAAACTGAAACACGGGGTGGGGGAGATTTAAAGAAAATAGAAATATTAAAAGTAGTTAGGGTTCCAGAACACAAAAAGCATGTATACAGTTCTGTCATTTTGATTGAACTTGATTTATAGGTTCCTTTAAGGGGGTCTCCAGGTTTGCTGGCCCCACTGTTGGGGTGAATAGCTTCCTCATTCTGTGGGTGCTCTTGGGTCTGAGTGTCTTTGGGGAATACTGGGAACTGAGGTGTATTTAGTTCATGAGCCTGAATAAGTACATCTCTATGAGAGGAATCCAGCACCCTGGAAATATTTATTCTATCATATGGGAAGGCTGTTGCTCACATCCCTTCTCCTCATGGATAGGTCCCATGTTTGTTTGTTTGTTTCTTCTCTCCTTCTTCCTTTCTTCTCCTCCTTCTTCTCCTTTTCCTTCTCTTCTTCCTCTTCTCCCTCCTCCTTCATTTTCCACTTCAAATGCAGAGACACTGACTGAACAAACCCAACCCTAGTTTCCACCCGTGGATTTTACCAGAATGTATCTGCATCAGTTATTCAAAAACATGATTTCATGAAGCCATAGCAACCAGAGGGAAAGAGGAAACCTCAGATTTGCTAGCAGGTGTTTTATCTATAAACACTAAGCAGCTGGTCACGTCCTAAAACCCAAGCCAACTGCTGGTTTAATGGCAATTAATTGAGTCAAGATGGTGTTTTATGCAACCACAAAAAAATAATGTAAATAGTTTTCATTGGCAAGAGCTTCTCTATTGTCAAGTACTGTGCAGCCAGCCGGCTTTCCTTCCTGTGAAACTCTCTGGGAAGCCTAAAATTAAACTGAGAAAGAACCCAGCTTCGCCCTGCTTGATTCTCATTTCCCTAGAATCCAGAGACTCGACAGAATCCTGCCACGGTAGCCTTCGAGGCTCCCTCACAAAACCTGTCAGAGCATACCCTTCCCACCATGGCAACCTGGCTGATATCCTGTCAATACAATTACTGGGAGAGACTGCACAGTTTGCTCCACTGACAGCTTTGAATCTTCTGTCGCCCCAGAGAGGCAGGCTGCAGTACAGGGGTGAGATTGACTGAATCCAGCACCCTCAGAACGTACAAATGATCAGGGCACCTGATTTTTTTCATAATTTATTACCAACTTTGTTTTTTTGTTCCTGTGGGGGTTTATGTCACAAATAAGAAGAGTATACATTTGTAAAATAAAGTCATAGAATCAAGCATTTGAGGATAGAAGGAAGTTTGCTGACATCAGATGTATCTCCTTGTGGGAGGCTTAGGGAGGCCTCTAACCAGGGGAAGACACTCATCCTGGGGTGCTCCTGTGACCTGGTATCTGGTCTCCTGACTTGCAACCTCATGCTCTTTTGGCCACAAGCCATGACTAATTAATCAAGGTCGAGCCAGGTTTGTTACATCCTGTATAACAGGCAGTCAGAAGTGTTCACAAATGAATCCAATACCAGCATCATCTCACTCAGCATCCCTGCAGAAGTGATCAATACTTTCTTAAGACTTGACAAGAGTCAAGAACTAACTTCTTAAATGTTTATTAGACGCCTAGGGCCATCTTAAGCTGGGGTCTGGGGAGGGCATAGAAACAAGTTCAAAACTCAGCTCCTGCCCACAGAGACTTGACTATTTAGGTTTTAGCTGGAGAGATAAGATACACACAGAGAGACACACAGGCACACATAGAATTCTACATACAGGCATAGAGGCACACAGAGATACAAACAGGGACACATGCACGTGACAAAACACAGGCACACGTACAAAATAAGTCAGGCAATGTCACAGGTCACCTCCTCTGAGTTTCCCAGTGAACTACAAGCCCAGAACATTCAGTTTTGGGGAGAGGGAGCCTGAGGTAGGTCCATGTCAGGGGTGAAGAGACTGGAGAAGCCAGCCCTCTGTGGGAAGATCTTCTACCCTTCTAGAGACGCTGAGCATTAGGGGCTGTTCACATCAACTCAAGTTCTGGTTCATAAGATTCAGTGCTGCGCTGAGTTATCATTACCAGCACAGGGAAGTGTTTATCCGGAGCAAGTGTGTTCAAATTGGATGCTCTACAAAGCCAGGCAGGCGCACCATGCCCACTAATAGCCTAACGTCTCTAATAAATATTAATGCTGGTGAGCATACGCGCAGAGACAGAGATGGGCATTAAGAAGGCAGGCCGTCCAAAGCCGGGTTGCACAAAGATACCCATGTTTTCATTACATGGTGAGAAAAGACTGTGTGTGGTTTGTCTGCCAGAGAGAACACAGCTGCGATCACTCGGGTCCTTTACGTTCAATTACAGTGTAATAGGAGGAAATGAAATGTTAGAGAGGAATTAAAAGCTATCCGTGTGGTACAGCCTGGGCAGGATGCACTGCTGTGGCTTTATCCATCCTTGTTCTTTCAGTTCCTCTCTCCTTCCCACCCTCCTCCCCATCCACCCCCTTTTTACCCTTCTCTTCCCCTCACCCCTCTTCCCCTTGTCTCCCTCTCCTTCTCCCCTGCCTCCCTCTGCTCCCTCCTTTCCCTCTTCCCTTCTCACCCTTATCTTCTCTTCCTCCTCCCTTTCCCTCCTCCTTCTTCTTTTATGTGCGCAGCTGTATGTGTATTTACATTTTTGCACACCTGTGTTCATGTTCGTGTGCATATGTGTAGAGGCCAGAGGTCAACTTCAGGTGTTTGTTTCTCAGAAGCCATCCACCTTGGTTTTTTGAGACAAGTTTTTACTAGCCTGGAACTCATCAAGTAGGCTAGACTGGCTGGCCAGGGAGCCCAGAGATTCACGCATCTCTACCTCTCGAGAGCCAGGATTACAATCTCCAGCTACCTTGTCTTTTAAAAAGTATGGCTGTCTCCTTTTACTGTTTTAAGTAAAAGCCTCCTTCTGGCTGACTGATGCCCAGTCTCATCTCTCAGGGTTTGGAGAATGAGACACAGATCAAATAGCACAGCCCAGGTCTCTAGCCATTCCAGAGACATTCCAGAGAGACTGTTGCCCGTCCACCGGCTCCTCACTACCCCAGCCCAGCTGCATA